CTTATTCAATCTGTATGCTGAGCAAATAATCCGAGAAGCTGGACTGTATGAAGAACGGGGCATCAGGATTGGAGGAAGACTTATTAACAACCTGCAGTATGCAGATGACACAACTTTGCTTGCGGACAGTGAAGAGGAGTTGAAGCACTTACTGATGATCAAAGACTACAGCCTTTGGTATAGATTACACCTCAACATAAAGAAAACAAAAATCCTCACAAGTGGACCAATAAGCAACATCATGATAAACAGAGAAAATACTGGCATTGTCAAGGATTTCATTTTACTTGGGTCCACAATCAACACCCATGGAAGCAGCAGTCAAGAAATCAAACGACACGTTGCATTGGACAAATCTGCTGCCAAAGACCTCTTTAAAGTATTAAAAAGCCTCGACGTCACTTTAAGTCATAAGGTACGCCTGACCCAAGCCATGGTGTTTTCGATCACCTCATATGCATGTGAAAGCTGGACAATGAATAAAGAAGACTGAAGAAGAATTGATGCCTTTGAATTATGGTGTTTTCGAAGAATCTTGAATATACCATGGACTGCCAGAAGAAGGAACAAACCTGTCTTGGAAGAAGTACAGCCAGAATGCTCTTTAGAAGCAAGAATGGCAAGACTTCGTCTTATGTACTTTGGACATGTTATCAGGAGTGACCAGTCCCTGTAAAAGGACATCATGCTTGGTAAAGTAGAGGGTCAGCCAAAAAGAGGAAGACCCTCAACGAGATGGATTGACACAGTGGCTGCAACAACGGGCTCAACTATAACAATGATTGTGAGGCTGGCGCAGGACCGGGCAGCGTTTCGTTTTGTACATAGGGTCGCTATGGGTTGGAACTAACTCGATGGCACCTAACAACAGCAACAGCATAGGATTTTCAAGGCTATGACTTTTCAAAAGCAGATCTCTGGGCCTGTCTTCTGAGGCTCCTGTGGGTGGGTTCCAACCACCAATCTTTCAGCTAGTAGACCAGTGCTTAACTACGCCTCCCAGGACCTATATATCAGAATAGACCCTTGAAATATTATTAAATTAAGCTTTTAACATCTAGAATATGTTAATGTATATAAATTGTAATGAAAATCCTTAGTTGTCTGACAAAAGAATAAGAACTCTAGCTCCCTGATAATGGGGGAAAAATTTTTCTCTAGTCAGTGTGGAAGCCTTGGAGAGGAAGCTTTTGCCCGCACCCCTGCCCCGCGCTCCTCTCCGCCCCGCCCCGCTCCCCGCAGTCCCGAAGTATTAGCTGTGTCGGGGGCGCCCCCTGGCGAGAAGCTAGTGAGCTGGCGGCTGCCGGCCGGGCTCTGGACCCCAGACAGTGGGGCTCGCGGGGACTGCCACCAGGCAGCCATGGTCCATGTGGGAAGCCGTCAAGGCACCACTTCATAAGCAGCTCCTTTTATGTCACCCTGGGAATTTCTGAGAGAAACACATGTGCAAAACATCTGTTTTCCGTGTTTCCCCTTCAAAGCAGTGAAAATGGTGGTTTGTTTGAGTAAGAAAAAGCGGAAAAGCCAGATATTAGCTCAGTGTTTACGAACCTGGTCATGTTTCTGCTGAGTTTGCTCCTGTAGTATTTACCGCCTTGTGATTTTTTTTTTTGCTTTTCTTTTTCTTTTCAATTAAATAAACACTTTCAACTCGATAGGCTCCTCTAGGCTGGGAGTCCTGTGAACTGCAGACCCGTGAATGCAGTTTCCTGGACGTCACTTAGTTGTCCACGTCCCCTGTCCAAGCGAAACGTTGTCCCCAAACCTGATCCTCTTCCAACTGTTCTTCCCCTCTTTCCATGAGAGGAAGAAGCCAACCTTAAATGACACAGCACTTCCCCCACATTGCATAATAGGCCCCTTGCTCTTAGAGAAGGTCCCTGGCTGACACATTTTGTGATTAGCTGCTAACCTAAAGGTTGGCAGTTCAAGCCCACCCAGCAGCATCACAGAAGAAAGGCCTGGTGATCTGCTTCTGTAAAATATTACGGCCAAGAAAATCTATGGAGCAGTTTTACTGTGTAACACATGGGGTCACCGTGAGTCAGAATCGAGTTGACGGCAACAGGTTTGGGTCTGGGTTTGGTTTTACTCCTAGAAAGGGAGCTTGAACATGCGCATCAAAATGTCCGTGAACTTGTGTTGGGGGACATGATATAAAACTATTTAGCCAAGCCAGAGGGAAATAGGCACAAAAACCTGCTCTTTCTGTGCACAGACATTGTCAATGGTGTTAAGTCATTCATCTCATACTTCAATAAGAACACTTATTTTTTTCAAAAGGTAAGTAGACCTCTCTTTTGAGGAGAAGAGGTAGAAATGCCTGTGACATCCTGATAGCTACCACAGCGCTAACTCTCAATTGTTGTTGTTAGGTGCCATTGAATCGGTTCCAACTCATAGTGACCCTACAGGACAGAGTAGAACTGCCCCATAGGGTTTCCAAGGAGCAGCTGGTGGATTTGAACTGCCGACCTTTTGGTTAGCAGCTGAGCTCTTAACCACTGTGTCACTGGGGCTCCCTAACTTCACTAGTTGAGCTCAATTTTCATAATTAAATTTAGGAGAGCAGCGTAAGAGGCCTGTGCCACAAAAAGCAAGGGTGCTGACTGCCACCAGGGGCAGAGTCAGAAAGACAAGTTGGCCAAGATGCACCCACAAATGTCCCCGTCTGACCTCTAGGCCCTTTGTGTTCTCGCTGTGCCCTGCACAGACTTCCGTTACCCTCCCTGAGCGTTCGTTTGCTATTATTTTCTTGGGATTTTCTGTTTGTTAGATAGACACACATTATACATGTGACAAATGTTTACTGAATGCATGTATTCTTAGAGGACACCTATTATTTGCCAGGCACTGTGCTAGGTTCTGGGTCCCTGGTGGTGCAGTGGTTAAGAACTAAGGCTGCTAACCAAAAGGTCGGCAGTTTGAATCCAGCAGCCACTCCTTGGAAACTCTGGAGGGTAGTTCTGCTCTGTCCTATAGGGTTGCTATGAGTCGGAATTGAGCTGCCAACAATGGTTTTTTTTGTTTTTTGTTACTATGTTTGGAGCCCTGGTGAGGCAGTGATTAAGAGCTGCGGCTGCTAACCAAAAGGTCAGCAGTTCGAATTCACCAGCTGCTCCTTGGAAACCCTATGGGGCAGTTCTACTCTGTCTTATGGGATCACTGTGTGTCGGAATCAACTCGACGGCAATGGGACTGGTGCTAGGTTCTGAGATCTAAGACAAATAAGATAGTGACCCCTCCTCCTTGAGGCATTTCCTGAATTATCAGGATGACAGAGTGGAAACCAGATGTTTTAATTTTCAGAGGTTAGAGCTAAATGATGCAATTTTGGAGGAGGCAGGGGGGCTAGAGGAAGGGAGGAAGTGGGAGACAGCCTTTCTGCTCCACACAAGCCCTGTCCAATCTCTCCATTCATTATTCTCTCTGGCTAAGAATCGGGCAGATGATACAAAACGTGCCACTGGGGTGGGGATACAAATCATGGTTTAAGGACTGTCAAGGTCTCCTGTTTTTGCAAGCAAGAAATATTTATTAGGCATCTGCTACAATTAGACTACTCGATCTTCCTTTGGCTGATACTTTCTCGTTTATAGAGCAGGCTCACCAGAAAATCACAGGCTCATTTTACAAATGACTCTGCTGAGACTGGTAACTTGTTGAGGTCCTTGAAAGTCCCACTTCTCTACTTAGAACTCAGAGTTCTGACTCCTGGTCCAGGGCACTTCCCACCAACCCATCCTGGCCTCACCCTGCCCCCAGGATCCCACAGTCTAGGGGAAGAGTTGCTGTTCACTCTGTGACTGGGGGCAAACTCATGCTAATTTAATCACAGCCCTTGGTTTTGCCCTTGGCCATGTGAATTTGTAAGAGCCCCCCTTCTCCAGCTTCCTCTTGGACAATAATGAGGATGAACAATACAAGATGAAAGCAGCTTTTCAGCGGGTACCGTATACACTTGAGGAGATCCCAGCTGCCAAGTGGTCGCCGTGCTGACTCACAGCTCCAGTGATCCACCACCACTGCATGGCGTGACTGCTGTGAGATGCAGAAAGATGGGAGAGGGAGAGAAGAGGTGGGTCCCTGTCTCTCTGGCCAGGAGTTGCTTGTCTGCAGCAACTCACAGCCAAGGAAGGGAGGCGGTGTCTCTGGGGCCAATGTGTGGAAAAGTGGTGGATTCCAGCCAACCTGATTATTTTCGTTGTCTAAGGGTTGGAAAGATTTCTGGCCTTGTGTTTGACTTCCATTGATTACATGAGATAACCTACGTAAAGCCCTTGGCACATAGTAAGTGCCCAATAAATGGTAACTGCTGTAATAGTGATAATTGCAGTAATGATGACCTTAACAAGTACCGTAACAATAGAAGAATAATGTAGAGCATTAATTATTTAATAACCATGGCAATAATACATATAGTAATATGGTGGAGGCTGGGGCGGGGGGTGCAGTGGAAATGGTCTACCCTAGGAAAAGGTCTTTGATCACTGACACATAATGATAACAAAAAGCAGGCTGACTTTTAGTTGGTGTTACTATTGATTATCGTTCCTCAGTTCTTTAAAGGCAATGCATCCCGTTATTGCCTGCACAGGGGTAGGGGTGGGTGTCAGGGGGTGGGTAGATGGCTTCTACCACCCTACCCTTGATAGGCCCTGATGATGATGGTTACTTTTAAATTGCTCTGTGGGCTACGCAGACATTCAAATGACTAGCATGTTACTAAGGACGTCATTTGTTGGTATGGGTGAGAGTTCAGGGTTTCTCTATCCGGGACTGGGCCTTGAACGCTGGTGAAATGAGCCCAACGCACTGTGGGGACAGAAGCCGCAGGCGTTGGACTCTACGTGACGCTGCGCTCAGAGCTGAGCAGCCCCCCTGAAGGCACCCAACGCACACCAGCAACTGGAGTCATCCTCCCTGACCCAGGGACCCCGTCACAGATGAGGTGGCTTCCTTCCCTTTGCCTAATGGAAGGTTCTCTTTTCTTTGAGTAGGAAAATGCCCAGATTATCAAAGAAGTGGAAGTGGACAAGGTGTCGGCATTATCCAGGGCCCACATAGAGGCCATCAAACAGCTGTGGCAGGACCCCGGAATCCAGGAGTGCTACAACCGCAGGAGGGAGTATCAGCTGTCGGACTCCGCCAAATAGTGAGTACAGAGCCCGGGGCCGCTGCCCGGAGGGAGGGCTCTCAGGCGAGTGCAGCCAGCCTTCAAAGGAGCTCCTTGCTGGGGAGCTGGAGAGGCTCCTTGTTAATAGGAGGACACTCAGTGACAACCCTTGATGAGTGGGCACTGTCTCCCTCTTGCCTGTGTCCCCCTCTTCCTTATGGGTGCCCCATCTTGTTGTTGTTGGGTGCTGTCGAGTTGGCCCCCAACTCATGGTAACCCCATACACAACAGAACTAAATGCTGCCTGGTCCTGTGCCATCCCCATGATTGGTGGTGGACCAGACAATGTTCTGTTGCAACTCATAGGGTTTTTATTGGCTGATTTTTGGAGGTAGATCATCAGGCCTTTCCTCCTAGTCTGTCTTAGCTTGGAAGCTCTGCTGAAGCCTGTTCAGCATCAGAGCAACATGAAAGCCTCCACTGACAGACAGTGGTAGCTATGCATGAGGTGCATTGGCCGGGAATTGAACCTGGGACTCCTGCATGGAAGGCAAGAGTTCTGCATACCACCTCCTAAACCCCTCCGTCTACCGGTGGATCCTCAGATCCTCCTCACGCAGACACCTACTTTCCTCACCGTGTTCTAAGACTGTCGTTTTCAAGGAAAGGCTCAAATTTGGTTTTCCTTAGGGGAATCGATCCCAGTTGGGTTGCTAAAATGATCCGACTTAAAAAGGGAGTGCACCTCCTCCTGGCTGCCACCTCTCTCCTCTCTCTCTGCCTCCTGGCTTCCTGGTCAGAAGACTGCCGGTCCATTCGTTCTAAAACCAGAGAGTTTGGACCAGCAGCGAGGCAATAGGCCTGCCAGCTACTGATCTGGTGCTGCCCTCTAGTGAGCATGATCGGTATCTGAGGCCCAGCACATAAAGGAAGCCCAGTCCACAAGTGCTTTGTTTATTTAATTAATTATTTATTTTGTCCGTGTTTTGTTTCTTGACCATCTGCTAAGGCCTGTTGTTGTTAGCCAGCCCCCGACTCATGGCGACCCCATGCACAAAGGAACGAAAAGCTGCCTGGTCCCACGCCATCCCCATGATCGGCTGCAGATTGGACCGTTGTGATCCACAGGGTTTTCATTGGCTGATTTTTGGGAATAGATCGCCAGGCCTTTCTAAGTCCATCTTAGTCTGGAAACTCTGATGAAACCTGTTCACCATCAAAGCAACACGCAAGCCTCCACCGACAGACGGGTGGTGGCTGCGCATGAGGTGTATTCGCTGGGAATCAAACCCCGGTCTCCCGCATGGAAGATGAGAATTCTACCTCCAAGCCACCAACGCCGCTCTGCTGAGGCCTACACGCTATGTTTAGGATACATAAAGCTCCAGTTTTCAATCATTAGTACCTGCTTGCAAACCATCCCACAGAGATCACAGAATTTCATTTTCTGAAGAATTTCCTGAGGCAATACCTCTGTCAGCCAGGTTACTGGACAAGTAGCTTGATCACACCCGGTCCAGCCTTGAAGAGCCAGCGATTCCTACTTAAGCAGCTCAGCTGTCTCCCTTGCCCCATACCATTGTCCATCCTCCCAGAGCTCTGAAATCCTTTCCCCAGGCCCGTCCCTTCCCTTCAGCCAGCCCCCTGAGCTGGCTTTGGCCACGTGGCTCACCCCATTCCCTGCACAAGGCAGTAGACAGAAGAGGAAACCGGAAATAGTACCTCCTGCTGTTTCACTGGCCTTCCTTTGGCACTTGTCCCAAGCTGAGTGTTTGATGCCATTAATCCTGGTTGGCTGAGCTGATCTGACTACAGGTACGTTTAGGTGCAAGAGCACATCGAGGCAGGACGAGGAAGTAAAAGAGGACCCTGATAAAGTGTGGGGTCAGCATAGAAAAGAGATGGAAGGAAATGTTCCAAAGAGGAGGCTTTGAAAGCCCAGGGAGCTTGGGACATCTCTGGGTTAGCTGAGGCATTCGCCCCTTTGCTGGCCCTTCCCTGAGGCAGCATGGTGCGATTTGCTTCTGTGAAGGTCCTGGGGATTGGCTGGGGCTTCTGATATAGATCCACTGGGAAAATACCGATCACAACTGCTGTAGGAGTCAATGCCTTGAAAACTGGGCAAGAGCCTTGAGAGGGAGGTAGGGAGTGGTTAGGGTGGTGGACAGAAGTGGAAAAGAAAAAATGGCATAACCCGGACAATTGTCCAGCCTTCTGAACTAGCAAGACGTGAGGCACTTGCGCCGTTCCTGGTCTGTCAGTGGTTCTCCAGGGGAGGTGATTTTGCCCTACCCTCCACCCCCAGGACATTTGTCAGTGTCTGGAGACTTTGTGTCATCACGACTGGGTAGGTGCTACTGACATCTAGTGGATAGAGGCCAGAGATGCTGCTGAACATCTTACAATGCACAGGACAGCCCCTACGACAGAGGATTATCAATCCTAAAATGTCACTTGGCTGAGGTGAGGAACTATGGTCTAGATAATTCAGAGTGCTGAGACACCCTTAAAGGCTCCGAGTAGAAAGACTTTGAACACGTCTACTTGAATCTGAAGGCATACTTAACAAATAGGGGTTTACATGAAAGATTTATGCGGCCTTGCTTCTGCTTCAAGCCTCTGGCTCCCAATTTCCAATTCCAATGAGTTCTCTCTTTACAACGAGGCAAGCAAGAAAAAGATGGGCAAGACAGAGGCAGATAATGGGAGATGGAAGCAGGAACCTTCCTTATTGAAGGAAGAATTTTTTAAGCTGATGTGAGTCTGCTGATAAAAAGGAAGGATGTGTTGAGGAGGGATGATTTTTCTGGAACCATCTACCTCAGCAAAATAAAAACAAAAAAACAGTTGCTATCCAATTGATTCTGACTCATGGTGACTCCTTGGGCGGCAGAGTAGAACTGTGCTTCATAGGGTTTTCAATAGCTGATTTTTTGGAAGTCAATCTCCAGGCCTTTCTTCCGACACACCTCTGGGTGGACTCAGACCTCCAAACTTTTGGTTAGCAGCAGAGCATGTTAACCATTTGCACCACCCAGGGACTCCTTCTACCTCAACAGCATCTTTTAAATTCTTTTCCTTCCCACTACCACAGCCAACATCAGACAGCTGTCCCAGGCAGCTCCAACCAACCTCTCTGCTTCCATTTTTCTATAATTCCAGTAGCAGCATGCCTCCTTCTCAAGGACAGCTTTATGTTCACCTTTCCTTAGCGTAAACATTGTCAATTGTCTCCCAGAGAATTAAGTACAAGCCTCACCCCACTTGCATGTGGCACCTCCAAATTGACACAGCCAGCTTTTCCAGACTTACCTGCGGCCCCTCTTGTACCCAAAACTCCAGTCGAGCCACCTTGCTTTCTCTACCTCAATAACCCCCTGCTTTCAGTCCCATCTCCTGGCCTCTGTTTCCACTGGGTCTCCAGCCTGCAAAACCCATCTCATAATTTGACCTCCCGAAATCATATGCCTTCCTCAAGTTTCATTTCAAACGTGATGTTCTCACAGTAGCTCTCCTTCCGCCCTTCTGCGGAGCTTCCTGGAGCAGTGCTGGGCTACTTCCCTCTATATCCTGACCCACACGTTGGCGGTGGTCACACAGGGGACATGTTGTCCTGGGCTCCCTGGAGTTTTGCACAAGTCCCAGGGGCTATTATAACTCCACCACTCTCTTTTTCATTCATAGAAGGAAATCAGAAAGCAAATCTGTGAGAGAAATATTATTATAGGAAGAACCTCAGACCTGCTCTCTTTGATATTTTAAAAATTTGTACCTTCTAGTATAAATAACAGAAACCCTGGTGGTGTAGTGGGTAAGTGCTACGGCTGCTAACCAAAAGGTCGGCAGTTCAAATCCACCAGGCGCTCCTTGAAAACTCTCTCGGGCAGTTCTACTCTGTCCTGTAGGGTTGCTATGAGTTGGAATTCACTCAATGGGAACAGGTTTGGTTTTTTTTGTTTTTTTTTTGGGGGGGGGGTGTTAGTACAAGTAACAAATCACTTTTAAAAAGATGTTTTATTGTGGTAAAAATATATACACCTACTCCTCACTTATCAACTATCTCCTTATGGACATTTTGCATTTACTACAGTAGTAAAAAATATACTATCTGATTATTTTGCACATTAATGATCTATGTCTGGTAGTAACGAACGCTGAGGTGCAAGGCGAGAGTAACACTGGCTCTGATGGTTAAGATTATGTGTCAGCCTGGGTGGACCATGATTCTCAGTGGTTTGGCAGTTATGTAATGATGTGGTCATCCTTCATTTTCGCATAATGCCGATTTTCACATAACAACCTAGTCTTTGGAACCTAATCATGTCGGTAGGTGAGGAGTGGGTGTATAGCAAAACATTTTCCAATTCAACATTTTTTTACATGTACATTCAGTGACATTGGTTACATTCATCATGTTGTACAATATCATCACTATCCATTTCCAAATTATTCTACAACGTTAACAGAAGCTCAGTGCTCCCTAGGTTAGGACTTCTCCCTTCCCTCCCTCCCGCCTCTGGTAACCACTAATAGACTTTGGTCTGTATGCATGTGCCTATTTCATATAAGTGGAATCATACAATATTTGTCCTTTTATGACTGAATTCTTTAACTCAGCATAATGTTTTTAATGTGCTTTCATGTGTCAGGACTTCATTTCTCTTTATGGCCAAGTAATGTTTCATTGTATGCATGTACCACATTTTGTGTATCCATTCATCTGTTGATGGACACTTGGGTTGTCTTCACCTTTTGGCTATTGTGAATAGCGCTGCAAGGAACATTTGTGTATGAGTTTGTTTGTGTTCCTGCTTCTAATTCTTTGGGGTCTATACCTGGGATTGGGATTGCTGAGGCATATGATAGCTCTGTGACAAATCACTTTTGATACACCTCACAGATAATTATGGACACCAATGATTGTGATGCTGTAGTGGAGAACTGCGGGTGAAATGTGAAAGAGCAGGAGAGAACATGGGCCGAAAGATGTATCATGCTTGAAACTAGTTTAAATGTTTACGAGCTGTCCCCCTAACTGGAACCTGAGCCCCCCCAAGGGCAGGAACTCTGCTTGCCTTGCTCACTGCTGCTTTCCCATCATCTAGAACACAGTTTTGTAAATAAAGTTTTATTGGAACACAGCCACACCCATTCATTTACGTATAATTTATGGCTGCTTTTGAGCTACCACGGTAGAGCTGAGTCATTGTTACAGACTGTATGTGGCCCACAAGTTGAAAATATTTACTCTCTGGCCCTTTACAGAAAACATTTGCTTACCCTTGCCTGTAGATTAATGCCTGGTACATAAGGATACTTGTTAAACTGTTTTGCTTACCTGTTAGTTTCCTGCTCTGTCCCTTTCTATCTTTAAACAAATCAATTTAACCTCTCTGAGCCTTGGTTTTCTTAGACATAATAGAAGATTGGGGATGACTGTTTTCAGGGTGGTTTAGGGGATATTGATAATGTATGTAAAGTGCCTGGCACAAGGTAAATATTCAGAATTGGCTGATGGTATTATCATACTCACCTTACGTTGTTGCCTAATTATTAATTTCCTTCTTTCATTCTCTTACAATAGCATGAGCTTCTAGAGGGTAGGTTTCTGGTGGTGTGTATCCCAGTCACCTGCTCTGCCCACCTCAGCCCCTTCCACATGAGACACATCAAGTGAATGCTACTTGAACCGAACTGAAAATAGAGATAAGCGCACTGCTCCGCTAGTAATGTCCGCTTATTAGGCCATTCAGTTACTCATTTAAAGAAGTATTTGTTGAGTGCCTACTATGTGCTAGGCACTGTGGTATGAGCTGCAGATTCAACCAGAAACAGACATGCTCTGCCGTCAGGGAGCGTACCGTCTGGTGGGGTGAGATAGGTACAAATCAAATCATTGCATATGTCAAAGTAATGCACCCCTGTGAGGAGCTCTGGGGGCAGGAATGGAAAGTTGGGGGAGGGTGTTGCAGTAGGAGCTGGCTCTCAAGAAAGGGTCATTGATGGAATCAGTGAATCAGTGTGGGGGTCACCGTGGGTTGGGGTGACTTCCCTTTACTAAGGAGTCCCTGGGTGGTGCAAGTGGTTGGTATGTTTGGCTGCTAACCCAAAGGTTGGGGGTTCAAGTCCACCCAGTGGTACCTCAGAAGAAAGCCCTGGCAATCTACTTCCTAAAAAATCAGCCATTGAAAACCCTATGGAGCACGGTTCTACTCTGACACACATGAGATTGCCATGAGTGGAAATCGACTCAACAGCAACTGGTTTTCCCTTTAGTAGGATGGACATATCTCCCTTCTATAAAAGGAATCTCGGCTTTTCTTCTCTCAGCTTCTTGAGCCGAGGGCTGCCTGGTGAGAAGGGTTTGCCTAGTGGCCTCTTGGCTTCCCTTCATCCTGACCTGCTCAGTCCATGGCATCAGAGTGGCTCCAGGCCAGCGTAGGGTGGGTCGTACCTGTGCCAGGAGAAGACAGGGTCGGCAATTCCATTGTTGGCCAGGGACTCAGATAAAAGTTATTTTTCTCTAAAATGCCTTTTTGTAAAGTAGGCTTTAAAGTTTAAAACAAAACCAAAACAAGTGATGTTTTAAGCTCAGGGCTTTAGTATATGGCCAAAAAGAATCCAAGACAGGTTTTGGGTTATTTTATTTCCCAGTGTCTTTAACAGGAAAATCTTTTCGTGGTGGTTATTTTAAAACAATTTCCCTTCTGCCTGTTTTATGCCTGTCTGTCATCTTGGAAACTCTAGCTCATTGAGCAGAAGTGTTACAGAAAGGCGCCCACATTATGTAACATTCTTGGATGAGGGTGCATGGGGAGGGAGAAGGGCTTCTGGAGGGAGGGGACAAATGGGAAGTCAGAGACAGCCATAGCCAATACCCTATTCCTTCCAGCCCCGCCATCTCCCTCACCGGCCATGTAGATTGCTATCAGGCCCCGTTTAGAAGCAGGAGGAAGACGTGGAAAGATCTGCAGATTTCCCAGAAGCCTCACGACAGTGCTTCTGATCCATATTCTCTTCAAAGCATCTCAGTAGGGGTGGAGGGGCCTGGCCCAGAGATGACTCTCAAGAAAGGGCCTATCGATGGGCTCAGTGAATCTGGGTGGGGTCACTGTGAGCTAGGGCTGGCTTCTCTTTCATAGAACAGACATTTCTCCCTTCTCTCTCTCTCCGTCCCAGTTACTTGACTGACATTGACCGAATCGCCATGCCGTCCTTTGTGCCAACACAGCAAGATGTGCTTCGGGTCCGAGCGCCCACAACTGGCATCATCGAGTATCCCTTTGACTTGGAAAACATCATCTTTCGGTAAGACGGTCTCCCCAACACAGCCCATTAAGAATTTGTCTGCCCAGGCTTGAAAGTTCCCAAATGGGTCTTCTTCCTCCTTGCAATTGCTTTTTTTTAAAAAAAATTTACTGTGATAAAATATATGTAACAAAACATTTGTCATTGTGACCATTTTTAAGTGTACAATTCAGCGAGTTTAATTACGTTCACCACATTGTGCAACCACCACCGCTATCCATTTCCCAAGTAGATATTTATATGACTTGTGTTATCCTGTATAGGTCTTACGTGTTTTAGGGGAGGATGGCCCTCTCTGTCTCAGGCTATTTAGGACTGTGGTGGGTCTCAACTGCTAGAGTGGAGGGGAACTCACCTTTCTAATTACCCTTAGATAGAAGAGTCTTATGCGTGTCTGGAATAATTACTGTATGTAAAACACACACACACACACACACACACACACACTTCTGTAACCTGCAATTGAAGTACCTTTAGGATAATCTAAGTAAATTGTCACTGCATTTAATTATAGCAAATAATAATAATATGGTGCATATATACAGCATTGGAGCCCTGGTGGCATAGTGGTTAAGAGCTGGGCTGCTAACCAAAAGGTTGGCAGTTTAAATCCCCAAGCTGCTCCTTGGAAACCCTATGTCGCGCCTTGGAAACCCTATGGGACACTTCTACTCTGTCCTATAGGGTTGCTATGAGTCGGAATCAACTCAACAGCAATGGGTTTAGTTTTTTTGTTTTTTTATGCTGCATTGCAAACTTCAAAGCCCATTTTTATCCAGCATTACCCTTGTTCCTCCTAACAGTGATGATCATACACACTTTTCTAGTTGAGACAGCAAGAGTCGGGTCCTCCCACGTTTAGGCACTGTCTGTACCCCCCACTACACCCCAGTGCAACTGAAGAATTGTGGGGTTAGAGGAGCCCTCTGGTACAGCCCCCTCGATTTTCTGCATCTGTGTGAGCACATCCCTGATTTCGAAGCAGCCCCTGTGCCTGTGTGCCCATGAGTTTATCTAAACCTTTCAAAGTCAACTAGCGCTTACAACTTCCAAAACCTCTCAGAGTCAGGGGTTCCCAAGGCTTAAAAAAAAGAAGGAGACCTTTAAATTTCTTCCAGTCTTTCTCGACCTTTGATGAGTGCGTTTCATATTACTTTCCAGTGCCTGGTTAACGAGTAACGTCCTCCACCAATGATACCTATCATCTAATAGCTCATAGCACCTTTCCCAGGAGGGTCTTTCCAGCTGAAGAATTCTGATCTTTGAAATAGAGTCCCTTTGAATGGCTTCTCCAAGCCCAACCTCTTGACTATTTCCGTTTTCCCTTTCCAGCTCCCTCCCCACTGCTCCCTATGAGGTGGGGCCAGCCAGGCAGCTGTGCCATTAATCACAGGTGTGGCTATACCTCCAGGAAGTGCTTCAAGGGCAGGGCTGGATCTTTGGTTTTCTTCCCAGCACCTTTCCGACAGCAGTACTGGGGATGGCCTGGGGGCCACCTAACCACTGGTCCAGTGTCTTCCGAGTTGTGTTTATCATAGAGGGTACGCTCTGGCAGCTTGTGGGCTGTGTGTGGCCCACTGGTGTCTTCTCTTGGCCCAGTCAGTGTTTTAAAAAAATTTTGAGCCAACATTTAACAATTGGGGTGCTTCACTTAAAACATTTGACTTCTAGTTTTTATTGAAAAGTTGGAGGATCTGGTAATAGTGAGCCTGTTTTTTTGCCTAGCAAATTTGGCAGCATTTGGTAGCTGCTCTCCCTTTAGATGGGGTCCCTAGCCCTTGTGCAGTTCATGCTTTTCTACTTAGGAAAGGCCCCCTTGACTCATTCACAAACTGCCTGATCCCTGGGGCATTTGAACTTGTGATCTCTGGGCTATGAGTCTCTGAAATCTTTCCAAAAAACCAGTTGCCATGGAGTCAATCCCAACTCATGGTGACCCCATGTGTGATGGAGTTAGAACTGTGCTCCATAGGGCTCTCAGTGGCTGATTTTTGGAAGTAGATTGCCAGGCCTTTCTTCCTAGGTGCCTCTGTGTGGCCTCGAACACCCAGCCTTTCAGTTAGCATCTCAGCGCATTAGCCATTTGCACCACCCAGGGACCTCAATCTTTCCAAAGACACATGTAAAGGCTTTGGATTTTCCTACTGAACAGAGGAAACTTGTAGGTCTGTATAGCAAGAAGGGGTGGCATTAGCTAATGCAGAAAGGATTTGTGGACAAGTTAGAGTGTCCATTGGAAACAAGAATGGGCCCAGGGCCAGAAGAAAGGTGGCTGAACCCAGAAGACTACTCGCCTTTCTGCTCCTCTTGTGCCTGGTGTCCTGGACTCCACGGTGATTGGAGCAAAACCCAAGTGAATGCTGTGTTTTCCACCCAGTCTCCCCAGGCAGGGCCACCTGAGTCATCTCTGCCTCTGTCTTCAACCTTCATTTACATTTTGTGATTCCTTTGCTAGGAAACATCCAGGGGTTTCCCAGTGCCTAAAGCAGTGGTGCTCAAATGTTTTAATCTCAGGATCCTTTTTCACTCTTAAAATTTATTGAGGTCCTCAAAGAGCACCAATTTCCATGGTATAATGATCCATGTCCTTTCCCCCCAAAGAGTCACGTATTTGAACCTTTGAGTGATCTTCTGTGTTTCTGTTGAACAGGATGGTGGATGTTGGTGGTCAGCGATCTGAAAGACGGAAATGGATTCACTGCTTTGAAAGTGTCACTTCCATTATTTTCTTGGTTGCTCTGAGCGAATATGACCAGGTCTTGGCTGAGTGTGACAATGAGGTATGCTAGACGGGGAGTTTAATTAGCTGTAGAAGACAGAGATCTATTTCTGTAGTTTCCAAGAAACCAGGCAGCTCTGGCAGTAAACCTCATTCGTCAGGTTAAGAAGCCCTGCTAATCAAAGTGTAAGTCCTTGAACTAGCAGCATAGGCATCACCTGGGCAGCTTGTTAGACATGCAAACCTACTGAATCAACCCAGACCTTCTGAAACAGAATCTGCATTTTAACAAGATCCCAGGCACTTCAAATACACCTGCAAGTAGGAGGGTCAGTGGCCTGGAACCCTAGTTCTCAAACTTGGATGCACACTGGAATTCCTGGGGAACTTAAAAAAAAAAAAGTGCCTGGGTCCAAACCAGAGCTGCTGATTTAATTAGTAGTGGGTGTGGCCTGGCATGGGGATTTGCAGACGCTCCCTAGGTGATTGTAATGTGCAGCTAAGGTTGAAAACCACTCGGAAGCAGTGGTTCTCATCGTTGGCTGCATATTGGAGTCCCTTGGGGAACTTTTTTTTAATGTCATTTAGACCCCACACAAGAGACTTTGTATTTACTGGGTTTCGGTTGGGGGTATCTTTGCCAAGCTCCACACAGCTTTTGCACAGCCAAAGTTGAGAAACATTGTTTCTAATAAACTTCGTCTGAGAACAGGCATCCCAGCATCCTCCATAGGCCCACAGCCCTCCCCAATTAGGTCCTTAATTACTGCCAGTGTCCCTAGGTGGCACAAACGGTTTGTGCTCAACAACTAACCTTAAGGTTGGCAGTACTATGGAACAAAAGGCCTGGAGATGTGTTTCCATAAAGATTGCAGTCAAGAATACTCTACGGGGCAGTTCTACCGTGTAACAACATGGGGTTGCCACGAGTCAGAATTGACTCAATGGCACCTAACAACAACCATTACTCCCAAATGGGGAGTGGTGTCAGATGCTTGGAGCTGTTCTAGGGGCCACCTGGGATTGCATCTCTCTTCACTTCCCTGGGAGGGGTTCCCTCAGGGCAGCTCTGACATCCATCCCAGTTATCCACTCAGCATGCCCTGCAGAGCTGTTGGGTAGAAGGCCTTACCATGGATCTGCCTGGAAACTGAAGAGACCATCACAGCCTCTTGTTTGTGAGGTGGGGCATTTTCTGTGGGGGAATAGCAATGTCCTGTCCATCATCTTTGTCCCTAAACTTGCACAAGATCTCTTGACCTTTTATAAAAATGTCTCTTGTTTCCAGGGTATGAAAGTAAATCAGTAAAAGGCTCTGTCCAGGACCAGACAGTAACAGTGAACAAATGATACTTTGTAATTCTTGAGAGATTTTCCCTGAGGAGCCCAACTACATTGGCTAATTAGTGAAGGATTAACCCGTTTGCTTGTGTCACTGTGCAAAGAACAGATACCTTGGCTGCCGCCCAGCTCTTCAAGTGGGGAGATTTTTTTAAAAAAGCAAAGGCATCTAGTTATCAATATGAAAATTAGCTCCAAATTTGTCTCAGGAATCACTTTGTGACATTTCTCAGGAAACTCAAAAGATTAGTCAGGTGCACAAGGGACCAATGGCTAAGCCTGATATGCTTAGAAATTAAACAATTCCTCCTCATAAAAATCACAAGGTATTGAGAGAAAAATTGAGTGGCTGGCACTCCAGACTTTTCCCTCCTGGTTGTAGGTAAGTGTTAGATCCACTCACCAGGCTGTATAGGAATTGTTTTCACATATTGTATGTAATTCCTCGGGGAGCATTACTGACAAGGTCATAATCCATTTTAAAGGAGTTTTAAAAACAAGACAGTTAGAGTGAGGGGTTACCTCTCTGGTAATAAAATCTGGATCTTAATCCTGAAAATGTATTGAGAGGCAGAACGAGCCGGGGTGTCTGGGAGTGTAGGGAAATAGAGATTTATGACCTCTCTCTCTGGAGTGGCTGTGCTCAACTTTGAAATACTCAGGACTAGAACAACCGACACAGTGGCTGCAACAATGGGCTCCAACATAGCATGATTGTGAGGATGGTGTAGGACCAGGCAGTGTTTCATTCTGTTATATGTAGGGTCGCTATGAGTCAGAACCAACTCGATGGCACCCAACAACAACAACAGAACAATTGTCGTCACCAGATAAGATCTGTATGTGTCCTGTCTGTTCTCCACAAATCAGGAGCATTTAATATTTCCTCGTCAATGTCTAATGCTTAGAAATGGTTACTGTCCCTCTACAAAGCCTTCACCAGGTCTTACTATTGTATGAGTTTGGGAGAGTTTTAAATTTTCTAAACAATAGTATGCTCATCCATAGACACTCTTCCCCCAGCACAGCTTGCCTGTCTTACATGCATGGAAAGCATGTACAGACAGGGGCTCAGTAGCATTAGTCCCCGTCCTTGCCAGTGGCTGGCACTCACTGCTGAAGGTGCCTTCCTGCCTCTCACCATCACCTGACCCCTCACGTGCGGTCTGGAAGCCCGCACCCAATGAAAGTGGGTCTCTCAGATCTGGAGCTTCCAACTTCCCCATGTGATAATTCCAATAATTACACGACACAGAACACTTTTACCAAATGTGGGTATGAACCTTCTTTTTTCAAGTTGCACAAAAGCTCTTTCCTTTTCCTTGCATGTTGGTTTTGGGCTAGAGGGAGAGGGGATCTGTGTAGGAGACCCAGGAGGCAGCAGGTGGGCGTGATTCATGAGAGGGTGCGGGTGGGGAGGAAACAGAAGCAGGAGGCCTGAGGTCTGTGGCCCCCTTGTGCCCACCAACTTCAGCAAGGACAGAGACACAGAGACTGCAGCTGGGTGAGAGAGGAACAGATAGAGAGAACCACCAATCTGGCATATTGCTTCCAAGGTACTGCTTTTCTTTCTAGTTTATTCTGAGTCCCTTTTTTCTCCCTTAGAACCGCATGGAAGAGAGCAAAGCCTTATTTAAAACCATTATCACCTACCCTTGGTTTCTGAACTCATCTGTGATTTTGTTCTTAAACAAGAAGGATCTCCTGGAAGAGAAAATCATGTACTCTCATCTAATCAGCTATTTCCCTGAATACACAGGTAAGTAAGCATTCATCTCGTGAACAGTATTCCTGTCCTCCCTGGCATCAGTCCAAAGTTCCTAACAGCTCACAAGGGCCTCAGTGGCCTGCTTCTAACAGCCCCCTCACCATTCCCCACTTTACATCGAAGCTCCAGCTGCTCCAGCCCCGCCACACAGGCCTCTCCCAATGTCTGGAATACACTGGCCAGCTCCTGCTAACTCTGCTTTTTTTTTCCCTCCAGGAGCCAGCTCAGGCATCTCCTTGGGGAGGCCTTTTTGACCCTCTGTTTGGCATCATGTGCCTCCTCTGTGCTGGGCTGACCTGCTCTCACTCGGTCTCAGCACGCTGTGTAGTATTGTCTCCCCCATCAGCTCCTTGAGAGCAGAGATTTTTCTTTGCATTCCCAGCACCAGTCAGAGTGCCTGGCACTTCTTAAGTGTAGGTTGAAGTGGGACATCTCCTTTACCAGACACAGGGTGGATGTTGAAGTTCTTTATACACGTAACTTAAGCGAGGCAGGAGAGAGGATGCCCTAATTAACCACATAGACATTGTAGTAGCAAGGCCCAAGCTTTAAAATAGACTTAAACCCATAACCAAACCTGTTGCCCTCGAGTCGATTCCAACTCATAGCGACCCTAAAGGACAGAGTAGAACTGCCCCATAGGGTTTCTAAGGCGCACCTGGTGGATTCAAACTGCCAACCTTTTAGTAAGCAGCCGTAACTCTTAACCACTATGCCACCAGGGTTTCCAAAATAGACTTCGGTACCTAATAATGTTAGTTCCTGCATTCTTCCCTTTTACTGTTCCTAGCCCACTTCTGTCTGTCTGAATTAACGATGCCCTCTCTTCAAAAGTGGTCCAAATCAGAAAATTAAACTGGGTCACTATTTTTAAAGAAATCATTTAAAGTACAATTTTCAAGTACCAGTGGACACTTAAAAATACTATTTTAAGGATTCATAATGAAGTACAATAAAAATAATGCCCCGGGCAAACTCTCCCCTAGAAATAAAATAAGACAGATCAAGGAAAGATCCCAAATGTGAACAAATCAAACAGCCAAACTTGTTGCTGTTGAGTCGATTCCAACTCATAGCGACCCTACAGGACAGAGAAGAAGCGCCCCATAGGGTTTCCAAGGTTTTAATCTTTACAGGAGCAGGCTGCCACATCTTTCTCCCCCATAGTGGCTGGTGGGTTCAAATTGCTGACCTTTGTGTTAGCAGCCAAGCACTTAACCGTTGAGCCACCAGACCTGTTGCCATCGAGTCAATTCCGACTCATAGCGACCCTATAGGACAGAGTAGAACTGCCCCATAGGGTTTCCAAGGAGCGGCTGGTGGATTACAACCGCTAACCTTTTTGGTTAGCAGCTGAGCTCTTAACCACTGCGCCGCCAGGGCTCCTTCAAATGAGAACAAGCATACATTAAACATAATTCTTGGGAAGACACCGTGGTATCTTTCTTCTTTCTTCCTCTAATTGAACTCATGACTAGGACCAAAGCAGGATGTCAAAGCTGCCAGAGACTTTATCCTGAAGCTTTATCAAGATCAGAATCCTGACAAAGAGAAAGTCATCTATTCCCACTTCACGTGTGCCACAGATACCGAGAATATCCGCTTTGTGTTTGCTGCCGTTAAAGACACAATTCTACAACTAAACCTGAGGGAATTCAACTTAGTTTAAAAGCTGCTGCCCACTCCTCCGTAACCGAAGACATGATTTAGAAGCTCCTCGTTTTCTTTGCCAATGCTCTGACATCACCTGACCCAGCCCACTGTGCCAGAAGCCGAGTGTCATGCAGAACATGGGACAGAGATGGGCCATGCAACTTGGAAGAGATTTGAGTTTACCAAAACCTTTCTTAAAGCCTTTATTCTCAAATTGTTTTTCTAGTTCTTTTCCTGACTTTTGATTGTAAATTTCTGTGTAATTTTTGAATTTGATATTTTATAGAATTTTAAAAAGCCACTGTGATTTACTGTTTTTTTATTATTTTAAGTGTGTTTAATAATAACCATTAAAAATCATGTAACAGCTTTTACTCAGAAGGGCCCATTAATTTACAGATCATGCCTTAAGACCTCTAAGGGATTAATTTGGGTGACTTTTTTTAAAGAATGTTAATGGGTTTGAAGCTTTTTACTAAATCTTGCAATTTACATACATTCTGAATTGAGTTTTTCTCTCTTCATGCTGAAGTATGACTTCTTTAAAATGCTACCAAAGATTTTTTTAAACAGTTCTTTTTGTGTGTTAACTTTCTAAGCCAAATTAATGAATAAATCAGTACATCTAACTTAGTTTTGACACGATTTTATCTCCACGAAGCCAAAATTGACATATGGTAGATGGGCTCTAGATTGCATATATTGGTGAAAATGTATGAATATATATATATGTATATACACACATATATATATATATATATATTCCAATGTCTATGACCAGGTCTTGTAAACTTGTGAAATGGCTAAAAGTCTAAATTGTTTAATGAATGTTACGTAATCCCTGCCACCATTCTGATGGCCATCACAGATTTGTTATGTTTGAACTATGTATGCTGTGCTTTTCTGAGAAGGTTAAGAATATACCATTGTATTAGCACTGAATTATCTTGTGTTTCTTTGACCTCATGGTTGATGGTTCTGCTCCTAAGGTCAAATGCTGTGACCTAAACAGTTAATAAATCAGAAACTTTCCTAAATTTCCTTCTTTTGAGGCAAGTCTGTATTCATCATCATGTTTGGTTAGTAGCAGAGGCAGAATCCCCTGAAAAGTACAGAGTGCTTCCAACTAAAGGCCCAAGGTGGTTTGGTTTCTGCTTTTTATTTGAAGGTATGCACTCATATACATATACATGCTCATATATGTGTGTATGTACACACAACACTTAAGTGATTTGCCTCCAATCTGTCTACAGAATGTACCTGGGCTGGCCACATATGTTATGCAATTACGTGTCAGCATTCCTATAGCTGCTCTGTGCCTTGGTATCAGCCAGTTAGTGGACTACTGTCAGGTTCTCATTCCGTTGCCATAATTCCAGGTGTGAAACTATTAAAGAACAGAAGAAAGAACAATGCTGGAAAAGATGGGAATTATGCTTATAGCTAATGATTCTACCATAGCAACATTAAGCTTTAAAAACTAATCCTCACTCAAGGGATGTTTTCAAGAGCACAAGTTTTTGTGGAATTTGACACACTGATGCTAACATTTATCAAAATAGTAAAGGTCCAGGGATAACCAAGACAGTTTTGCACAAGAGAACAAAGAGATGGGGGACTAGCTCTTCAGGATACCTACAAACATAACAAATAAACCTAACAACAAAAAGAAACACTCTTCCTGCCCCAGTGGGCTAAAGAGCTTGAACTGGTTCCGATTAGCCAATTAGCCTATGAAAAAGGGCTCAATTGAATCAGCAATCAGGGACAATAAACAATGTGGAATTTTGCTTTTTATCCCAAGCACTTTCTAGTATTTTACTATTGTTATTTTTAATTTATCTCAGGCTGACACTTAAAGCATACAAGAAAATGATGGTTTTTAATCACCTCTAGTTGTAGGACGGCTGTCAAGTAAATCATTAACAAAGCTGGTAATAATAAAGTATTTTCTTAAGTCAGGGAAAGGCTGAACTCTCCATATTAAAGGTAAATTAATCACCTCTGCCACTATTGATTCTGTAAGTAGAAGACTTTCCCTGAAGTCCCTCTTTCAAAATATAGTCATTACTTCCTGAGGAAAGGACTCATTTGCTGTTTTCTGAGATTGACAGACACACTCTTGGCACTTAAGAGTTTAGTGAGTATTGCCAGTCAAGTTTTCAGTGAGCAATGATCACGTTGGGCTGGAATGCTGTCAGCTTTGACCGAAACTCAGGACTCTGGCTAATCTGTTAGTTATCCACAATTTATTAGGGCCACCAAAAGGGTAGTTTAGATAGGTGAGGAAAGACTATCGATAATGCTTCTAATCCTATCCAATAACTAAAGAAGAGGCAGACTGAAGATCAGAAATCTTTATTTGACTCAATTTATTTGAAAACAGTATACATGGATAAACTGGGAAGTCATCTTACCATGCAATCCAAATCTACCAATACCTAGAAATAATTATCATTATTTAGAGAAAAGTGATTAGCGAGCATGGCCAACCAATTTTCAGGAAAAAAAAAGACTAAAGTCAAAAGTTCAAAAGGAAGAACTTCACTGTAAACTTTATGTTTAAAAATTATTTTATCCAAATACACAAAAACAAGGCAGAGACTGTGTTAACAGGCAACTGGGCCAGAAGCCCCCATAAGCGGGGTAAGAAAACTAAAAGTGATGCAGAGATACATAATTAAAAAACTAATTATCATCACCAGTGATTGTCTTTTCACCAAAGAATAAACATTCCAAAGAAGCACAAGACTATTTGATAAATAAAAAAATCAGTAAGAGAGGGAATTTTTTAAAGTGCACAGTCCCTGAAAAATTCATTTTTATATGTAATACACAGTCATATATCATTTTTACAAGTCCGTAACAATCTAGCTTACCTTGCACCACTCCCAGATACAATTTCTAATAGTTTGTGAGTGTGGCTATAAAACTAACACTGAGAACACTTCAGTGTAATTCAGGCAACATTTTTACTTCAGTGTTTTTCAGCCCAAGAATTGGGAACTTTTGAATAATCAATGGAACACTGACTATGGCTTAACCAAGAAATGTTGGGGGTCTTACAACATGTGGTATTTTAAGTACACTTCTGGTTGCTATGTTTTTTATTATAATACCCTTACGAGGTTTCTTGTTACAAGGACTTCATTAGTGAAGGGATACATTATTAAGGTATCAGAGCAATAATAAATGAATGGTAAAAGACACAGGAATTTTCGGGTTAACAGTTGGATGTCTATTATCGCAGGTGTTAAACTCTAATACAAATTAAACAATTGGTATTTGTATAAATTAATAAAAACATAAAAAAATACACTCATATCAACCTATAAAGAAAAGAAGTTACATTTCCTGGGTAGCCCTTTGGGTAACTAAAATTACCAATCTTCCTGAAATACCAGAATGTTTTTGTTTTAAAAAAAGTACAACTAATCTATAATCCTAAAAAAAAAGAAAAAAATTCTTTTCATCAGACATGAAATAATTTATTTCACAAAAGAGAAAATAAAGTGAAAACAGGTTTCAACTAAAGAGACATGTATGAGGTTTGTGACAGAGTAGGAAGGGTCCAGTATCTATCTTCTCAGTGCATGTGCTGGTCAGCGTTTGGGATAGGCCTGAAACCAACATTACTTTAGACTAATTGGTAGAAAGAAAAGAAGCATGAGAAAAAGTTTGTACTAATAGCAGTATTAGTCACTGAATGAAAATACAGATTACTAGAATCATAAAACTTTAACTGATTAATGCTAACCTAATTAGCATTAGCAGTAAGGCGCTTAGAAAGTACGTATGAAAGGATTCAGCAGGAGGTTGAATGGGTCCGCTTTTAGTCTATGATACTAAGTAGCACCAAAAAAACCAGATTTACTAAATTCTGTATTGAATCCTGAATAAGGAATGCTGGTTATCTAAATTTTCTATGTAGGTCTTAAAGAAATGAGGAAATCCAATTATTTTCAGCTAAATTGTATTGACATTTGTATAGCACCCCCCAGAGAATGAGTGTTTTGGCCCTACAAGCCAGCACCCTACACAGAATCCCCATTTTTAAGGCCTCTGCCACCTATACGGTGAATCAGTCAAAAGGTGGTGGTGGCGGTGGTGGTGGTGGTGGTATTAGGTGCCGTCGAGTTGGTTCTGACTCATAGTGACCCTACCTACAACAGAATGAAACACTGCCTGGTCCTGCACCATCCTCACAATTGTTGCTATGCTTGAGCCAATTGTTGCAACCACTGTATCAATCTATCCATCTTGTTGAGGTTCTTCCTCTTTTTCTCTGACCCTCTACTTTACCAGGCATGATGTCATTATGCTAGCCAAAAGGGAGATGGAGCAAATTCAACCTACTCAAAAGGAGAACTTCTGCCCAATCCTAGTAAAATTCTTAGTGGGAATGGGATTGAGATACATCAAGTTAAATGATATCCTGTGGCCTTTCTGGGCAAGTGTTTGTGAATCTAGTTTTTCTATGCTTTTTCTGATTCTACTGTATGATATGAGGCTATCTGATAAATACCAGGAAAGGAAAACATTTTATAAACCAAAATAGAACTATCGTCTCACTCTGAAGAAAAAGACAACGCTCACAGTCTGAACACTGCCTGAGCTGTGGATCTGCTACTCCTTATGTGAGCTCGGGCTCCACAGACTGTTCCAGCAATCACTGGATGGTCCAATCCTTCTAGATCAATGGCTTTCAAGCTTTTTTTTTTTTTTTTTTAACTGCAATCCACAATAGGAAATAACATTTTACATTGTGACCCACTTCACTATAGAAACAAGTATTTAAGTGAAACAATATTTCAGGAAACCCCTGTTAAATGCAGTGCTGTCTGGTATTTTTCTCCTCTATTCTGCTTTAAAAAAAGGCTAGTCTTCAGCTGTTGAATTGATTTCACAATCCATTAAGGGGTTAAGACCTACAGTTTGAAAAACACTGTACTTGAGAATTTTGGCTGATCCTGGAAAAAGGTACAAAGCAATAGCCTTGGAACTCAAACCAATTTCTCTGAGTGTGTCGGCTACTTTCGCCTTCAGTGTATTTGGCACACACTTTCAGCTCCTACGGGGAAACTAAGCCAGTACTTTGTCCCAATCTTTTTAACACAGGTGCCTATGCAGGGAGCACTGGGCGCAGTCTGAAGGATGAACTAA